CAAATAGGGTTAAGAAATTAAAACTTGAGGACCTTTGTACTCAGTTTCATCTAAATATTCACTGACTAAATTTTTATTTAATATAAAAAATGTGGTGTTGAGATAATTAGTTAATTGATCATGATATCCGGTTCTTGGTGTTTTGGTCGGGGTGGCCGGTCTGTGGGGGTGGCCAGTCTTTGGGTGACGGACGTTAATGCATGTTTAGTGCTCCATGTGTGACGTGGGCATGAGAGGTGCAATTTGGTGGGGCTTGCTCCAGTATTGATTCGCTGCTGATCTATACGCCGAAGAATTTAAGTTAACCCTATCTCCTTGGTTAAGACTTCGCGGTGAGGCCTTCCTGTCTACTACCCTATGAACGCCTTATTAAGAATAAGGACTTTGCTATACTGCCTAATTATTAAACCGCAGGGTGCTAATTAGAAGGCCATTTTGGCTAAAAGAGCTGCTTTTCTTAAAATAAAAGAGTTATAATATTTTACCCCTCATTTAGAGATAAGCTGGGTTATATTAAAAATACCTTAGGTAGATAACTTTATTAATTAATAGTAATTTAATAATTAAAAGCCTTGAAGTTAAATTTCTAAGAATAGAATTATAATTATAAGAAATAAATTATTAATTAACAAAATAAACTACTATTTAAATAAATAATTAACAAAATATCTCTTGGCACTTAATCTAAATGAGCCTCGTTCATCAATGCAGGGGCTTGTGGACTTAGGCAGCGCAGGGCGGAGTGTCATGACCACTACCCCGGACCAACAGAAGGATCATCGAAAAAGGTTCTGCAGGGCCAGAGCTTGGCCACGGCCGGCAGAAAAATCCGTTGTTGGTTGAGCATCCACAAGCTCGTGCGCGTTTCAGTATCAGCGCTTATATTGTGATGTTGGCGATCAGTGGTCTGTTCTCTTCTATTTAGAGAGTGCGTGATTTAACAAGCAACAAGACATGACATCCATGGAGTGAGAAGATTTTGCACAGTGTCACAGTGTAAGCTCGTTGCACAAGCCGGCAGCGCCTGCGCCGATGCTTTGGGGAACCATCTCATGAGAGCGCAGAAAGTCCTTGCTAATGTTCGCTCTCGTAAAGAGGCCACCAGAGCATCACCCGCTGTTTTCTTCCATTCTCAATTCTCACAAAATATCGCGCGTTAGGCTGGTTTACTACTTTGTCTTTCATTCCGTACAATCGTGATGGATTTATCAATCTTTCTCTTCATTTTGAGTTTGTTTTCAGTCATTCAAAGCCATAACCCCCATCTAAGGCACTCTCGTCTTCACTCCAGTTCGCGTCCCTCAAAAGCCACAAAGAGGGCGGATGATGACCCATCAGACTTTTCCTGGGTTAAGAGATAGGCCGCCATAGGCGATAGCTACACCGCTGGAATCGGCTCTGGACGTCCCTTAGGAAGCATCCTTGATGGAGAAGAGGTTGATGTCAAAATAAAGACCCTTAACATTACACTACCCAACCTCAAGTTCAGTATTCATGGGAACTGGTATTGTTCTAGATATGACATGTCATATCCCATGATCATCGACAGGCTCCTTGGCTCGCAAGTCGAGAGTTTCCAGTATGCTGCTTGCAGTGGGGATCGTGCTGGTCAGATCTATCAGCAAGCAGAGCAGATCGAAGGTGATCTCGACATGTTCATATTGACAGCTGGTGGAAATGATCTCTGCTTGGTAAGATACTCAACTTCCAGATTCTAGAAACAAACAACTAACCATGATCTTTCAGTCCGGTATCATTTCAGATTGCATCCTCCTCTCTGCTGGCAATGATGAAGCCTGTGAAGCTGTCCTCAAAGTCGCCGAGGAGAACGTTGAGACAATCATCAAGAGCAACATGAAAGAGATTCTCTACGCCTTAAACAAAAAGGTGAAAGAGGACGGTATCGTTGTTGTCCTAGGGTATGCCGAGTTCTTTAGCACCGAGAACAGCGACTGTGAGGATGAAGCATGGGACATAACAGAGTTTACAGAGCCCATAAAATGGCCTCAGAAAACGACGATTGCTCACCGACACAGATTCAACGCACTCGTCAAGAAAATCAACAGAGCAACTGCCGATGCAGTCAATGAGATCTCCAAGGATGACGAGGTCAAGTATATTATCGGCTTTTCAGACTGGAATCCTTGGGTTACTGACGCGAGCTTTGATGGACAGATGTATTCTCCGTTTGCCAATGGAGATTACCCTAGTAAAGGTCAGCCTGAGATGCATTTCATCAAGCCCCCCACCAATCCTACACCTGGAGAACGTGATGAACTGAAGAAGCGTGGACTTGACCAATCAGATTACTATGACTACTCAAGGGGTGAACTCAAGAAGAAGCGAGCTCGTGAGAGCATATGGAGTTCAAGTTCTTCAACAGCCCCAACCCATCTGAGCTTGTACGAAGGGCGCTAGGGCGTCACGATCCCAAACCTCCAGGTTGTCCCTCAGACAAAAGAGAGATTGGACTATGGGTATCGGTCTTCCGGACAAGATTGCAGAGAATTTTCATCCGAACGAGCATGGACATGTTACTATGGCCAGTTTTGCAATGGCGGAGGCGATGGACCTTCGTTCGTTGGTGCTAGGCATAGATGCCCCGTCATGCGAAGTTAAAAACGAGTTTAAGTGCTGGTCGGATGACAACTGGAAGATCTTCTCCAGCGCTGATCGTCTTGATGAGCACTATGAAGATTTCTGCAAGAATATCGAGCAGCCCGGTCATGAGAAGGGATGGGACTACTACAAGGAGGGCACTCCTGATGAGCATGAGTTCAGGATCTCACTTAGCGACGACGTAGCGGACTATGACGTGAACCAGTGCATCGATTCCTCCAAGAAGCTGATTCACAGCTGCGACACCAACCGCCGGCTGAATTGGAAGACCGGAGGCAAATGCATCCGCGACGACGGAGCCTACACTTACGAAGTCAGCCCAACGCGCTACAACAGACCCTGGCCACCACCAGAGTATGCCCAGGGAACCTTCAAAGGATGGTACCACTTTTCTCATAGTTCATATACGATAAAGGGCGGCGGGTTTTCAACGTGGGACTTTGGTCAGAAGACGATGAGGCCGAGTATGAATGGATGCTATGGACTTGGCACGACGGCTTGAAACTTTGAGTACTACGATGAACCGACTGAGGAGGGGTATGAGTGGAAGCTTACGTTCAATACGCCTGTTTTTGTGAGGTCTAGGTGTTTCAAGAATAACAAGATTGTCAAGGGTGCTAGCGGGTGGACTGATGGTTGCGCAGGAAATGACTGAGCTGGATACGATTAAGTAGCTAGTGAGAAGTTGTAACTAATATAAATATATTGTAAATCCCAAGTACATCCGTCGAGAAACTGTCACTGCGATATATTTATCTGCAAGCACCATAAGTCACTAAACGTATGGAACAGCTGCGCAGTGAGCAACCGTTTAAGATATAATAAATTAACACTACTAAGTTAATAAACTTTTCCTTTTAGTGAACTCAGTGTTATTTATGAGCCTATATACTTAATATAGCAATTACCAATTAAATAACTAGCTGCTTTAAATAGCGGCTCAAGCTTAAAGTAATACCAGCACTTATCGTAAACCCTTATTACAAAAGTTAAGGAGTGTACCCTATCTTGTATTTCTTTTAGCAAGGGAGCTCCACTACAGTGCACCCTATCTTGTATTCTAACTGCGTCAGGTTAAGCTAGTGCAGTGTTACCATCGGTCAGATTATTAATCAGCACAATTTGACATAATTTCGCCGCATCTGGATTATTTGGATAGATATAAACTAGCCATATATTTATCTGTCTTTCTTTTCTATGGCTCTTCAGACTTCACCACTTGCCTAGCTTCTTACATCCATACAATACGCCAGATCGGTCCAAAAGCAGTCACTATGTCCTCCCTGTATCATTACTCCTTCTCCCACGTCTCCAAGACAGATTCAGTCGATCAATCCGCAATTAAATACCGCGACCTGCGTCTCAAAGCACTAAAGGCTTCTCCTGAGTCCTTTTCTTCCACATACGAAATCGAATCTCAATTCACAGATGCAGCATGGAGGGATCGCCTACTCCAGGACGATAGAGAGAACTTTGTCTGCGTTGCAACCCCTGTCAGCCCTGGCGCTTCTTCGATGGCACAATGGGTAGGACAAGTGACTTTGAGAGGTCCAGTCAGCAGAAAAGACTTCACACTTCCCGAAATTTCTGGTCAGCCGATACCCGGCGGAGACGACGAAGAAGATCGTTGGCAAATGCTCAGCCTGTTCATTCTGCCAGAACACCAAGGACGAAAATTGGGGCAAGGTCTATGTCGGGAGGTTATTAAACATCTGCAAGAAACTCGACAAAAGACAAGAACCGTCGTGAGGTTGATGGTCAAGCCCCAAAACACCGCTACTGTTCACTTATATGAAAAGCTTGGTTTTGAAACCGTCGGAAAATGCACATTGGCTGAGGCTCTTATAGCGAACGGAGATGGCCATCTGCTTCCCGAAGATACCACAGACGCCAAGTACTCTACTCGGTCAGGCCTGATTATGATCTACACTATCTCATAGACTGTCTATAATTACGATAAGCTTTAGCGCAGTGCTGAGTAGCCAGGCCTTAGGACTTGGCCCCTAGTTTACTGGACAACATGCCGACAAAGTGGGAAGATTTCTCCGTATGGTCGTCGACTAATAGAGTCATAAATAGATCCTTAGGCGGCCAAGTGCTTACTTCTTATAATTGTCTTTATTAGTGCGAATATGCCTCACGGCATAAAATACACACAGGATGCTTAAAGTCTTCACCGTTTCTACTCTCAAGTAATTATTCATAGTTAGGTTAGTTCTATTTGTAATCCTGTATACTTGATGTAATAATTACCTATTTAAATAAATGGCCGCTATTGTGTGTCTGACTAGTGGCTCAATGCCAACCGACGTCATAGATCTTGTCATTCCAGCTCCAGCCCCATTCGCTGGCGACCAATCCATCGCATTCCATGCTCCATATCAACATCACTCCAGAGCTTCATTTAAATGGCGTCAGTATATCACAATCAATACTCTCCGTCACTAATATCCATGCTTCCCAGACCAGAAATGGCTGCATCACGATCAAAAGCCAAGCCCTTGATGGACACAATATCCGAAGCCCACCGGATGTCCTACCGCATCGGCCGCGGCGAACAAGGTGTCCTCACATTCGAACCTTACAAGTCCGCCATTCTCCCCCTCTGGCGCTTCCGCACAGTCCCCATCGCGCGACAAAGCGCTAAAGACCTGTGGGCCAAGTTCAACGAGTTCAAAGACCAGTGCGATTTTGTGGGGATGGACATGACGCGTAAATTCATCCAGATGGGTATGACGCGTGCAAAACGATATGCGAATCATGCTGGTGGGCGGAAGTATAAGAAGGGCACGAGGGAGGAATTACCAAAGAGTGATGAGCATCCGGATAAGGATGAGAAGGAGAGGGCGAGTTTGATCTTTAGGGGGTATTGGGAGAAGTGTAAGGAGGATGAGGAGTATCAGAACCTCAAGGAGGAGTTTTTGAAGAAGCAGAAGGATTGGAAGGACTTTTGATAAATCCTCAGTAATGGTACTATTTCTTGGTAAACCGTCCGGAAACGGTCTGTCAATATTCAGCGGACTCTCTCTTCGGTGCCTCCTTTAGGGTCCTAACAATCGATGCCTTTCATTTGACCCAACCATTCAACAGTAACTCCGTCACAAAGTGGCGCATTCAGAACCTGCATGATAACATCACTGAGTGCATCACCCTCATTCATATCCTATTCTGATGGCCAATCCTCCCCTTTATCTGCATATCTCTCCCAGTTCGGCTGCTGAAGCTTTGCCTTCTCGACCGCAAGCCTCGAGTCGTCCGGGGAGTTGATTGCCCGGGAAGCCGTTGGCAACCATATGATCTGCCGTTCGAGAAGTTTTGCAGTATCAACTTTGACCGGGAGTCTTGTGTTCCGGTGTCTGAAGGCCGCGCTTTTTGGCTTGCCTTTGGCTGTAGTTGTGGCCTGTGCTGAGGTGTTTGATGGTATCTCTTGGCGCCTTGTTCTGGTACTCTTTCTCTGTCGTTTGTTCACATGCTTTGTTTCTGCACTACTTGAGTAAGCGTATTTCAATATTTGTTCTACCCCAAAACTCTTTGCCTGTTTCGGTTAGTCTCTGGGTTTACTGTTCAAGACCTTTGACTTCCCATATTGTGAATCTATTTGTATGGTTGCACGCATTTCTGCGAGTCTTGAGGCTCCTCATTAATGATTCGTTCAGCCACATCATGTCTCAAAGGGATCAGACTCAACTTCTGCGCGTGCCTATAGACAAGTGTCAGTTAATAGTAGTGTCATTTCGGGCCTCAATCGCAACACTCCCCAATATTATTGCAAGCAGCTCGTTGCCTGTAGGTTAAGAGAATTGACTGCCGATAAGCTTATACCGATTTGGCATACATTGCGGGAAAAGCTCTAAAAATAACTGGTGCAAGGTTATGTAACTTAATACTAGCCAATCAAGGCACGAATTCTAACCACGGCAGCTTTATACTCATACCAGCCAGCGCATAAATAACTCACAATAAGCCTAACAAATCCCAGAACGCCCGATCATCCAGCGCGAGTCCCGACAAGGCATGCATCACCGACAATCCGTGATCGGCTCCCTGGCACATTTTATGCTAAGTTTTCAGCTCTGCCAAAATTGCGGGGATGATCGCTGCTCTCAATCAGCCTTATGCCCTCCGATGGAACCTGGCTTGACTCTATCGGGATTAAAGTGAGAATGGTGAGACAGTGAATCATCGGTTAACTGCCTTTGTGAGTTAGATAAGGCTGCAAGTGGCTTGTAGCTAGGCATTAGAGACTAAGACGGTGAAATTTTGGACCGTTGACGGATGGCGGTGTGTCGGGTTATAAGAAGCAGATAATTCCCCAGCTCAAAGACAGTTCATCATCCTGCATTGCCAGATTAAGCTTAATTATCGAGTCATCATGAAGTTCAGCGCCATCCTCCTCGTTCTCGCCCCTCTCGTCTCCGCAGCTGCTTCAAAGCAGGCCGCTGCTGGACTTCCTGACCTTGCTTCGGCCAGTGAGAAGGGTCACGATCTCTCATCACACGGCGAGGGACTTCAGCTTGCTGCCAAAGTCTGTCCAGCCAAGTTCCCCAGAAAGTGTTCCCTCGGAAACTTCTGCTGCCGAACTCTTAAGTGCTGTAAGAAGGAGTGCTGTCAGAACTCTGCGAGATATTGCAGCAACGGCCGTTGCTATAAATAGATGGCAAGTCTTTTGGTCATGATGTAAGTTTTGAGGCAAGCTTTTGTCGCGAGAAGGCACTAATCGGTTGTAGCATCAATTGTGTGACACTGGGTGAATGAGAATTGGTACGAGAAAGCCGAGAGGAATGCTTCACCTGTTGGGACTTGGTTTGTCGGAAAGGAACTTGAAAATGACTAGCATACACATAAATGAACGACATTCTATTTGATAACTCGCTGTATATTCCATCCTCTCTGGACCTTTCGCCTATTCATCCACCTACGTCAAGATAACATCTGGCTGAGGATCATTTGGCCTGTCCCACGGGAAGCCATTCCTAAACAGAAGCTCCTCTTTCGAATTCTCAGTAGACATGACCACCACGCATGAATATTCGCTGACATTCATGCTGATTATTCGGTAGAGGCCCCGCGCTATATGCTTCGTCACCTGGGTTACCGCATGATGTACATGTTCGTTGGTGCCTGTTCGAAGGATGCAGAAGTTGGAGTCTCCGTTGATGTTGATAAAGATAACTTCGACTCTGTTGATAACGGTACCAAATCCTGGAGCTGGCGGTGGCCATGAACTTGGGTTGGTGGAAGGATCAACTGTATAATGGACTGCGGGTTGATGCTAAATGATTCGTGATTTGTAAAATGGGATAATTGATGCGGTTCTTTTGGCAGAAAATGTTTGGGTTTGAATTCTGAAAATGGATGACTGGGATAATTGGCCCGTATTTATACACCGTTGCACGAAAGCGATTATTATCCTACTCTTTTGCCTTATCTCGCTATCCCTTTGTTGGCTGTTGTTCCGTCTGATCAAAAGTTCCATTCAAAAGCCCTCGTGCTATCCAATGTAAAGGCGACTTGACTCAAGTAGTCCGGCGTGCAACCAACAGCCAACAGTCAACGCCGCATAGTTCAACCAATACAACGGCGAACACTACAAGTAGCCCTGCGAGAGCTGACTCGGAAAACTTTTGACAGAATGGAATATTTCCAGCTCTAGATGACTAAGCTCTTGTATCCCCCAGTGCAGGCTGTGGTGAGCCGAAACGAGAGCTTCAGGTCATTTTGTCGCTGATCCTTATCTTATCTTTATCTTATCGCTCTTCATTTGTCCATGTCGCGACTTTCAGCCAGCCAGCGTCGCATTTTCATTGCACAGCCTGTCGATCACTAACATGATTGGACGCGCCAGAAGCGTGTCCGCTAATAATTGGCGATCTGCCAAGCACTGCCCCCGCCTGGGCGATTGCTTATTTCCGACTAAATACAGGGTAGTCGCTGGCATCACTGAGAGAAACATTCTTGGCATTGTTTCGTTTCAATCCAAGACTTTTCGTTGAAACAATGTCTGAAAACATGAGTGCCAAGAGTACGGAACAATCGGGACAACCCGAGAATAGCATCCCGTCGTGGTCGTCGAGGCTGTACCGACAAGTTGGCTTCTCGGCGAAAAAGACGTGGCAGGATAGAGGTGACATCATTCGTCACTCGAGAGAGCTCTTCACTGTACGTTGACGAATCCAGTACTCCAAGTTGAGCTCACAAGGTCTAGGCTGCAGGCCCAAATGGACTGTCATATTCTTCGCTGCCGACCACTTCAAGTATACGGCTTCTTGAGGTCAAGCCTGGGAACCCCAGCGAGATGCTGCAATGCTCCCTTCAAACAGTTGACTTAGCGGACAACCCCAAATACCACGCGCTCTCATACACATGGGAGCTGGACCCACCAAGCTTCCCCTACGAGCTGAGATATCTGTCTCAAAAGGTCCCAAACTTCTCAAAAGTCGTCACCAGCGGTGTTGACACGGTTAATCATGCTATCAATCGTCTCATGGTCCGGTCGCGTTCTGAGCCAGCAGATCCTGATGCAAGGTCTGCTGAGAACTCCACCGACCGGGACAAGATTCTCTGCGACGGCAAAGGTGTCTACGTCAAGTCTAACCTGTATCAAGCTCTTCTCCAGCTCAGAAAAGCGCGTCCGGGCCTCTACTGGATTGACGCAATTTGTATCAACCAGTCTAACCTTGCTGAGCTGGGCCAACAAGTCCAAATGATGAATCGGATCTACAGCTCAGCTTCCCAAGTCACGATTTGGCTGGGTACTTGTCCCCATGTTTTCTCACCCGGTGTCGCCAACCTTATCCAAATGACCAAGACTGGACTTCCCGAGATTACCGAGGCTGCTGAGTCCAAAGACTTTTACTACACCAGAGTCGGAACAACATCGCTTTGGCATTTAGTACTTTGCGTCTTTTTCATCGTGACGCGTAAATGGTTCAAGAGACTTTGGGTGCTGCAAGAATTATGCCTCGCCAAGGAAGCCATCTTCCTTCTGGGGGATTACAAGTTCGAGGCGGATGATATCTCTGTTGCTTTTGGTTGGATGAGAAGTATTCTGAGCGCTTGGAACACCAGCGGGCTGCACATGTTTGCACAGATATTGACTTCATTTGGAGACATGCCTGACCAAGCTGTCTCATTGCTTAATTCACGTCGGACAATCTCTGAAGGTGACAAGGTTGGGCTGCAAGAATGGTTCAGGCTGGTCAAGGACCGCGAGGCAAGAGATCCAAGGGACATGGTTTATGGCGGACTTGCCTTAATCAAGCCAGGGACGCTGCTGATGAATCCGAGCTTGAAACGAGGCTCTGAGAAGCATCCTCAGATTACGCAACCCGGAGATCCACTGAACGAACAAAATTGGCCATCACTACAAGCAGACTACGCCATCGACCTCCCCGCAGTTCTTGAGAAGGTGGCGCTCAGTCTTCTCTCAGGCCCTGAGCCGATGAACCTCCTCTCGCTCGCAACGCGATATCGCACTCCATTCTTCTACGACATGACGAGAGACACATCTATCCACTACTCAGCAATGAAATATGATAAGTTGTCAGAGCTTGAAGTCGATGTACCATCATGGTACGCTGCGCCATGGCTTGAGAACTCGCGGGGGATGAAGCCTCTCATCTGGCAAAACAGCACACCGCTCGAAAACATCTCAATGATGATCAATAGTCCATCCATATCGGCTGATGGCAAATCGCTGTTTCTTGAAGCAGTACAATTAGACGTCATCGAGTCTTGTGTCTTGTATAATTTCTTCGGCGATCTGGCGCACGATATGGAGTCTATGATCACGCTGAGCTCCAAGGAAAATGAGCGAGCACAGGAAGCTGCGGCATTGAAGGAGTCTTTCAACTACGCTCCACCGTTTCATCTACTAGAAGTGATACTTAACATGACTGCATATCCGAAATCGACAAAAAAGTCGCCTCTTGAGGTCTTCTGTGACCTTCTCACTGCTGGAACGTGGAGAGGCCCGCCCAGCAGCAAGATGGTCGGGTTCTGTCAATGGCTTGACGACTGGGTAAATAATTACGTTAAAGAACATGACAAAGAAAAAGCAAAAATCACAGATGAGAGTCTGATCCTGAAAGAATTCATCATCAAAAGAGAGCCCATCATAGCCAAGATACATAACGACTACGCCAAACTGCGCAAGGCATATCCCAATGAACCGTGGTCACCCGAAGACCGTAAGGCCATCTCGGAAGAACGCAAGACCGAAGCCTCGCACTTCGCAAGAACCCTGCAAATAGCACAGACGGTCCGAGCTCTGTTCAAGACCCAAAGCGGCAGACTCATCCTTGCACCGGCATGGGCTGAAAAGGGCGATGTTGTGATGGCGGTGAAAGGCGGCAAGGTTCCTTACGTCTTTACACCAAGAGATGAGGACATTAAGCGCAAGATTGCGTTTAAAGAGAAGTATAACGGGGACATATCGATTGAGGCGTTGAAGGTACGGCCGGGACATAAGGAGGCGCAGAAATGGGATGCGGCAAATCTACGAGGTGACATTGCGGGGAAGGGGAGTTATTTGCTCACTGGTGAAGTTTATTTACATGACTCGGATTTGGAAGAGATTCTGGGAAGGGACTTGGAGTTTGGCAGATTACAAATTGTCTAATTGCGATCATGCATAGATGGAGAGTTTGGCTGTCATTTTCTAACACGCACCTGGACCTCGACAAACTTCTGTCATCATCCGAGCTTGGATATGCATGTTACCCAAGTTGAGATTGATAGATGAGCTTCAATCTGCACAGACTTGCTTGTGGCTTACCAACTCTCCGGATCTCAGCGGAGTGGCAAAGAACGGCGGCTATTCAACGACCGTAAATTGAATGAAGCAATCACGGTGTAGGGTAATATCAAGATTACTCCGCCAAAAAGCCACAGGAGCTGTTTAGACGCTCGGATAATCAAGAGGCTTGGAACTATTTCCAATAATCCTTTTGCCTTTTCGATATGCTTAAACAAGAGATGTAAGCCCAGCGGTTAAGCGATGTTCATCGACCACTGCGAGGTTGACCTCATGTCACTCCGATATTCTTACGTGATGCGATCAACAAAAAAGGAAGGCATTTCATGGCTCCGGTTCTAGATCCCCAGAGAGCTAACAACCCCCTGAAAGCCCTACTCGGCACTCACGGGAACAGTCTCAGGGCGCTAGTACCTGAATTTAGCGCTGACTCTCAATATTAACCTCAACAAACACAGACGCCTCAACGGCACCTGCTACAAAACTCCGTGACATCCCCTCCAATCAATCACCCCTGAACTGCATCTCGTATTCCCCAGATGAGATCCACGGGGCAGAAAAAGCTTAGCTCAGTTGAGTTCGCATCGCCAAGCCAATCGATCAGCAGCAATCTCCACGACGGTAAATCAGTGGGTATCAGCCGACCTGGCCTAACCTCAGGGGTTAGGCGTTCTAGACACCGCTAGCCCGGACGGCTAAACGACGCTGGCCAATGGCAGCGGGCGACAAATTTCCCTCCTGTGAGCCACTGTCATAACATACGAACTTATTCCTTGGATTAGTTTCCAATAGTGCTGTAACCGCGCGCTGCCGAGATGCACCTCGGACTTCTCCAATCACCGTAACCTTCGCCAACCCCTGAGCACGTCAATTGCTTCTCAGCTGGCGTAGTGGATGATGTGAATTGCCTTACCAATGAGTTTGCTGGTACCTTCCGCTATGAGCCGTGAACCGAGATTAGTGTATTATTCACAGGGCTGCTAGACGAGCATGTCACTGCTGCATCTAAAAGTAGATTCATCGTAGGAATACACAAACACATAAAAGAGCTGGATATCCTCTCCTCAAACTGCTTTTCTTTTCTGCTCTTCAGTCACTCACTCACATCCACTCTTTACTCGCAACTTCTCCACGCTCTTTAACAAGACAACAGTCCTTCTTTAGTTCCCTTTTCTTCAAAAACAAACCGCCAACATGAAGCTGTCTGCTGTCACCCTTCTCACCCTTGCCACTGGCATCCTCGCCGCTCCCGTCGCCGAGGCCAACTACGACGTCTCTTACTCCAGCTATGAGGCTCCCAAGGCACCCAAGCCTCACTATGAGAAGCCCAAGCCTAAGCCTCACCACGAGAAGCCTAAGCACGAGTACCCTGCTCCTCACCATGAGAAGCCTAAGCCCAAGCCTCACCCCAAGAAGCCTGAGTACCCTGCTCCTCACCACGAGAAGCCCAAGCCTAAGCCTCACCCCAAGCCTCACTA